TTGAACCCCCTTATGATTCATCACCCCCAAACTCAATCCCAGCCTTCCCTTTGTGGTATGGTACCTTGCAGTACAATTTCAGAGAGATCCATACACTTGAACGCAAGTTATTGTCTGGAAACTAGAAAAGTGTTTGTTTTTAGGCCCCTTTTTGGCCCCAAATTCCTAAACGTTTAGGTCAATTATTCCCAAACTCAAACCCAGCTTTCCCTTTGTGATATGGAACCTTGTAGTACAATTTCAGAGAGATCCATACACTTACACACAAGTTATTGTTCTGAAACTATAACAGTTGTATAAAAATGCTTGTTTTTTGCCCCTAATTCCTAAAATTTTGAGGCAATTACCCCAAAAATCAATCCCAGCCTACCCTTTGTGGTATGGTACCTTGCAGTACAATTTCAGAGAGATCCATACAATTGAACACAAGTTATTGTCTGGAAACTAGAAAAATGCTTATTTTTGGCCCCTTATTCCTAAACGTTTTGGGCAATTACCCCCAAATTCTATTCCAGCTTTTCTTTGTGATATGGAACCTTGTAGTACAATTTCATAAAGATCCATACACTAACACACAAGTTATTGTCATAAAACTAGAAAAATGCTTGTTTTTTGCCCCTTTTTGGCCCCTAATTCCTAAAATTTTGAGGCAATTACCCCCAAAATCAATCCCAGCATTACCTTTGTGAAATGGAACCTTGTGGTACAATGTCAGAGAGATCCATACACTAACACACAAGTTATGTCTGGAAGTTACAAAAATGCTTATTTTTGGCCCCTTTTTGGTCCCTAATTCCTTAACTGTTGGTACCATAACCCCCAAAATCAATCCCAACCTTCCTTTTGTGGTATTGAACCTTATGGTAAAATTTCATAGAGATCAATTCATTTAAACTAAAGTTAGAGTGCAAAAACTAATGTGTCTTCGGACGATGACGACGACGCCAACGTCATACCAATATACAACCGCAAAATTTTGTTGACGTCGTATAAAAATTGAATCATAATTTCCTGTCGATATGCACATCTACGTAGTATGTCCTTATTATCTACAAAGTTTCATGAAATTCTGTTGTGTGGTTTCAGAGGAGTTGCAATGACAAACTTTTGCAGTAGTATATTGAACAAATAAGTTGAAAGATGCGTAACTCCAAGAAAAAAAATTGAATCATAATTTCCTGTCGATATGCACATCTACATAGTATGTCCTTATTATCTAAAAAGGTTTCATGAAATTCTGTGCAGTGGTTTCAGAGGAGTTGCGATGACAAACCGTTGCAGTAGTATATTGAAGCAAATAAGTTCAAAGGGGCGTAACTCCTGGAAAAAAAATTGAATCATAATTTCCTGTCGATATGCACATCTACATAGTATGTCCTTATTATCTAAAAAGGTTTCATGAAATTCTGTTTATTGGTTTCAGAGGAGTTGCGATGACAAACCGTTGCAGTAGTATATTGAAGCAAATAAGTTCAAAGGGGCGTAACTCCTGGAAAAAAAATTGAATCGTAATTTCCTGTCAATATGCACATCTACATAGTATGTCCTTATTATTTGAAAAGGTTTCTTGAAATTCTGTTGTGTGGTTTGAGAGGAGTTGCGATGACAAAAGGTTGCAGTAGTATATTGGGCAAATAAGTTCAAAGGGGCGTAACTCCTGAAAAAAAAATTGAATCGTAATTTCCTGTCGATATGCACATCTACGTAGTATGTCCTTATTATCTGAAAAGGTTTCATGAAATTCTGTTGTGTGGTTTGAGAGGAGTTGCGATGACAAGAAACAGGACTGACGGACGTTGTGTTCATGTTGTGCAATCTCTAATTTTTAGTTGAACACCTTTATCCTTTTTTTGCAGTAGTGTTATCTGTTTTTATTGGAATTATGTATTATTTTAACCCCCCCCCCCCCCCCCCCCAACCCGGCCACTTTCATCAACAATCAGACAATCTATTTAAGTTGACAAAAAACTTTGTATTTTTTTAATGGGACTGGCTAAGTAACCTGTCCAATGAAGGGTTAAGTTTAATTTACAAAAATGATGGAACAAAAAAAAGAGTATTATATGAAAATCAAATAATAATTTATTGCAACAGTTACTGGTATTCCATAAAGGTTATGGAACATGGGATTATGAATTGAAATTTAATAAATTTTTAAAAAATATGATGCTGAAATTTTTTTTTCTTTTCCTTTATTACATTCAGATTTTTTGTTCAAACTTATTTATACAATATTCACACCCCATCTTCATTTTACGAAAATATGAATAGAAAACTTACCATGACAATGGTATTCTTTAAACCCTCTGGCAAATCATCTACATTTAAAATACAGGGTTTCCCAAGCAGATATAGTCTGTAACTATATCACTAAAGATGGGAAGACCTGGCCCATCTTGAATGATGGATAAGGCGACCAGCTGTCCCAGATGGAAAAAAATATTCTGGGTCCTTGCAATAAAGTTGTCACGCAAGGTTTGGCGTCCTGGTTTTCCTGAAATTGTACAAAGTACCAAAATCATCCTAACAATACGGTTGAAACATTATACTGCTCTTAATACAATCATTGAATCTCTTAAGGGCAATATTAAGCAGTTGTAATTGTGGTGTATGTAATTATATGAGAAGTTCAATGGGATTCTAAATCATTAAAGTTAACATAAGCTGTTTCAGTAATACAAACAATGCTGTACAGGAATTTTGCATTGATTCATCCACTGTCTTTGATCATTTAAATCGTTAAAAAGGACATTATCTTATAATATTGATAATATAATAGACCTGAATAATAGTAATTTTGCTATATGCCAAATGTTTCAAAACTGTCAATCCAAGCGCACATCAGACCAAATATAACCAGATTAAAATGCTGGTCAAAATAAAAGATATTTTAAAAATGTTCATACAACAAAATTTTATAATTTGATATATTTGTGTATTTTTCTTTGAAATTCTGTAAAAATTTGCACACAGGCCCTCTTTGGTCCCTATTTAAGAATATTTGTGATTCAAATTTTCAATTCAATCCCAATCTAGGTTTAAACAATTTAGATTGCATATATGCAACCAAAGTTTAGCACAGAAAACTTAAAATGTTCAAATGAAAGATGGCAAAATATCTTAACTGTAAAAGTAATTAACCTCTTTGTGAATTTATCATTTAAAAACTAATGTTTATTCAATCAATATTAATTTTGGCATACCTGTAACAAATACAGAACTACTTATCTTGTGGAGAAAGAGACTCCAAAATTCCCGTCTCAATCCCCCAAGATCAACACCGTCCTCATCAGTGAAAGATATCCTTAGAGGGCTGTGCAGATCATCTTGGCTGATACTGATGAAGGCCAAGGAATACTGCACAGGATTTTCCCTTCTCACCTCCATCAGTAATGGGTCATCCGAGTCATTGTGGATGAACAATTCCTTATGTTCTTTAATTTTTTTTCTGAAATTTTCTGTACACTCATTTTGCCTAAAAATAATAAAAAAAATCACTTTCAGATGTCATTTTACAGCAAACTGTCTTTTGAATATCACTTTCATATCTTTCAAAAATTTCTTTCCAATGAAAGCACTTTCCTCTTAAGCAACAATACATGTACAAACATAAAACTATAGTATTTGAAGATTAGTTTGTACAATTTTGTGTAGTACTAGTATCATATTTACAAGCTTTGCCTTAACCTACAATCCAAAATATGCTGTTACCAAAAGGTGTAACATAACTTCGTAACATAAGGTATCTGCATACAAGGTATAAAGCATCCAGGTCATTGTCCTTCAGAAATATAAGACTTTATACAAATATTTTACAGCACTGCCCCAAGACAGTTATCCATAGGTCTCTAATACTGCCAATTTCGTCGCAGGCAAAACAAAAACCTTTAAAATATTTTTCACCTGGAATTTTAAACATTCACACTTAAGTTTGGAGAATTCAATTTGGAAAAGAGCATTCAAAATGCAATTGCAAATTAACTTTAAACAAATGTTTTTGCCTTTTTCAGGTTAAATGATAATGGTAGAATAACCTACACAATGTAACTTTATCTGTTTTAGTATGATCTACATGTTTTCCTGAAAATCAGGCAAATTTGTTCTTTTGGTATTATTATATCAGAAATTGATGAAGCAAGTACCAGGTCCATCAAAATCCTTCCAAACATGATATGTAATCTTCCTAAAAACAGGATATCTTGATCAAAAGTCAGAGCATGAACACAACAGAAAGTGAACAGAGGGAAGTTTCAAGGACAAAAACAAAGATTGACCTTCATCTTAATGCTATTATAATTATTTGGGTTTGTCCAATATCAATTTTGTAAATGATTTCATATGACTTTAATATTTTACAGTTTTAATTTTAAAATTTTCATTTGTGGATGTTTCTATTGTATATTTAATGATACTTGGTAAAGTAGATTCAAACAAAAGTAGTATTTTAGCTAGCCAAATTTGACATGAAGTTTTTTACTCACATTTGATCTACTTGCAACCACCCTGGGAGATGATAGGGCTCTGTTTCTTCTTGTTGATGGTGAATTGGAAGCTTCAGGAGCTACCTGCAATAAAGTTAATGAATTAGATTTAAAATGATGAACTATTGGTAATCCAAAAAACAGACTGAATCACAAATCATTTAAAATCTTCCTTATACTGTTTTTTAAGAATTTTGTCCAGGAATCTCCATGAATGACAATTTAACCATGAAAGAACTTTTACCAACACAAAACCTCATGCAATATGATCCAGATTATTTGATTCGTCTGTATTTTATGTACAAAATAGTTCACTTGTGCCATTTTTTCTTTCACTTGCGCCGATTTTGTCTTTTATTTGCGCTGATTATGTACAGGTAAATTACAGGTGAATGTAATTTTTTTATTTATAATTATCAATCTCTTCCATTAGATTGTGTACATATATGTTATGAACTGTCAATAATAACATCTATATAACTAGAACTGTTGTCCCCTGCTCACCAAGTAGGGGTAAAAGTAGGATTTCAAGCAGGATGAGTCAATTTAAAAGACTTCAACCAAAGACTTAGTCAATAAATCAATGAATGTTACTTGCATAATGATGTTGAAGTATTTTTGATTCAAAATAGAATATTTCTTGTGTTAGTTGTCTTTACATCTCAGACAAATTTCTTGTACGAGTTGAGAATAGTCAAGATGTGTACTTTAAAAACTCACATTAGATCTTCTTGCAACAGGAGATGCTATGACTCTGCCTCTTCTTGATGATGGTGTGTTGGAGCCTTCCAGGGCTACCTACAATGCAAAAGCTAAATATCTCTTCATTGTTTTCAAAGAGCAAACACAATTTTTTTTTGCAGTACAATAAACTGATTGGAACATGAACTATTATTGACAATAATTTGAATCAATACTTAGTAGACATTTAATTTCACAGAATTGTAAAGCATGCTGCTGGCTACAGATCTACTTTCTTATTAAGTCTTTATGATAGTTATCTGATTGGCATTCATACCACATCCCCTGATTTAATAAGTTAGATAGAACATGCTAACACTTTATTTAATGTGTCTCCCCTTAAAATGGGTTTTGTCAAATGATAATTTAGTCCAAAGTAATTTTGTTGAATAATTCTGAAAAAGAAAGTTTTATTTCTAACATTTTAAAATTTTGATTTGGAGTTTGCTTTATATTAAAAGTGTGATTTCCAGCAGCAAACTACTATAGAAAGTTGCATCTGCTTGCACTAATTGTTATCTTCAAAACATCTGCAGAACAACAAATGAAAATGGTGTTGTGTTGCCTTTATGCGTGAACAGATTATCATACCAGAAACTAGTTTCAAGTTATAATTATAAAGAGCATTCCAAGTAACTTACAGTTGCTCTATTTCTACCAGGTGAGGACAATGTACTGGTAATTTGAGTGGATGAGGAATTTGACCTCTCAGATGTAACGGTTGTCTACAAAAATAAAACATGTGATAAATACACATATGGTTAATGAATTCCCTACTTTTTTTTATTAAAGATAAGTTTCATGGACTTATAATATACCTTCAAAGTATTCAAGTAGCCCATGATGATGTGTGGAAGACAAAATTCTCGCAAAAACATTATGAACCAAATTCCTTAATCAAATCTTTGCATAAAACTTATTGGTACTGACACTATAAGTAAAACTATATTTTTAAACAACAGGGTGTAATTACCTCCAAAAAATAAGTTGAAGTTATCAATTTTACACAGCAGTTCTAGTTTTCACTTACACTTGCTCCACTGGTACCTGGTTGAGACAGTGTACTATTTCTCTGGCGACTTCTTGGCGAATCTGGTGTGTCAAATGTTGACTGCAGAATAAAAGAAGACAGAATTCATTAATTCATTTTTTTTGCACTGTCTTAAAATCCTGAGAGAACATATGATTCCAATATGGCTGGGTTAATAAAATCATGTTTGACCTGAAATTCATTTTAAAAAGTATTTGTTTTGAATTGCAAACCTGTCACTAAAGTTTAAAGATTAACTATGGAGACTACTACTTTTCAGTATCATGCACTTTACAAGTTTCCAATATGACTGTAATATACTCTGTTTCTTTGGCATTAGGAAATATAATCTGTTGTAAATTGCATACTATTTTGTTAGTTTTCTATTTACTTACATGCTTTCATGCTTTCAACTGAAGTGTATCTGAAACATGCAATTTTATTTTTAAGGTGGCTGTATAAAATCAAGAATCTGTAGTAGACTTAATTTTAAACTTAAAATTGATAAAGTTGTATAAAAGACCCATGAAACATTTATTTATAGTAGTTTCTTATGCAACAGAAAGTACTGAACATGGTTTTATATTTTAAATTACCCATTCATGTTAATATTTTTATTTAAACCCTTTTATACAAGGGGAAATAGAGGTGATGAGGGCATGTGCATGGTTATAGCTGACTTCAAATGGGTGTTGTCAATATTAAAAAGATTGCTGTGTTCATAACTACCGGTATAAACTATTGAACTAATTCTTTAGTTATCAAACATAAATGCTTATTACCAATTTCAGTTTTAAAGTTGATCTCATTATACTGTGGATTCATTATTTTTCGTAAGGTACCAATTTTTGTGGGTTTCGTGGGTACAGATATACCACGAATTCAAACATTCAACGAATTACAAATTTTGTATAAGGTTTTATGCAGACATTGGCAAAACCACGAAATCAAATAAACACGAAAATGCAAGTTTGTCTCAATCCAAGAAAATAAGTACCCACGAAAATAAATGAATCCTCAGTATTAGTTAAAATAAAAAATCATTATACATTAATAAGATTGCTAATTTATTATGAAAATTTAACTGAACTAAATACTGTTAAAGTTATGCTCCAATTTAGTCTTCATCCATACTGTCCATAATGTTGAGGTGCATATATATAATGAGGATGGAACATGTAAATAAATTATTTTGCATGGCTCACCTTGATACAAATATAACATGTATAACCAAGGCCAGTACTCTGCTCGTTCCTGACCTGGTTACTCATCTTGCTAGGTTGGGGGAACTAGCTGGTAGCTTTTATATGAATACATGTTAACGCAACACAGATTCAAAATTCTATATATAATTGTTTATTAATTCAGCATTCAGTATAATTTATCAATCACAATAATCACATAAGTTCATGAGACATAATAAAACATCATGTCTAATTTCAATCCAATACAACTGTCTAAATTCAAGTCTAAAACACAACTGTCAAATACAACTCTCAAATACAAGTGTCCCTAACTACATGGTCAACTAATATATATTGTTTTTCATTATTTAATTTACATAACATTAATCCTCAATATATTTACTTTACTTAATAATGCTAGTTTATCTATTTTCCCAAATATCAAGTCTTTGTGACATAACCTAAATTATCTTAAAAAGTAAGAAATCCCTTTTGTATATATAACACTTCTCTAATTCTTAATTCTCTATTGTAATTTAACCCTCAGGGGATTACATAATAATTTGCTTTACACTTATCTAAAATTGTGAAGATTTATATTAATTACGTATTTATCAAGTAAATTATTTCTTAAGCTAGTGCTAAATATCTTTAACTAATACTGAATTATAAGAATTATTTGAATTCCACCTTTTAACATTCTTACATCTAAAATATACTGGTTATACATGTTCAAACTTGAGCAGGATGTAAATAAACGGACATATTGACACATTATTCCGTCTTTACTTCAAAAATATTCAAACATGAAAGCACAAAATTTCATGTATGATCTCTTGTACTTAAACAGCATTCATTAAAGTAAATAATTCTGCACTTTTCTAAATTGAATTCCATAATTATCTATGCACTAATGTTTTTCACATTTAACTTACAGGTGTTGAAAATTCAGTAAAGACATTAACAGATCATGCTTCAATTTACATGCTTTCATGATTCTAGATGTTATTTGGGATAACACATTGCTTTTAGTAACTGGGGAATAGCATATTGTTAGGCTGTGATCTAAAAATTACCGCTTGTACTGTCAAATTAGCATCATCAGATTGTCTTTCTCTTCTGGGAGGGAACAATGGTGGAAGCTCTTCTTCATCCGATTCACCTTTAGTAATCTACGGTATACAAAAAAAATATGCCTTTAGACACAATAGATTTCAAAATAAACTTTGTAACATAGCTTACAGTCCTGCTGATGAAATGATTTGCTCTGAAGGTACAGAGATAGACGAATGACTAAAACACGGTAAGCTAAAAGTGTATGACTTGGAAATATCCTTGTGGTTCATAGCCTACCTCTGTGCAAGGGAATTTTAAATGAAAATTAAACGCAAACATTAGAAACATATTTAATTTTGATATTTAATTTCCTGGGACGAGCGCTCTCAATAAAAATATTTTTCATTTAAGAAGAAAACAACACTCTAATAGAAACTGATTATATTAGTCGAGTATCATTTTGGTATTCGATACTTGGTACTATAGAGCAATACTCTAGTACTCGTCAACATCCCTAATTTTTACATTAATTCAAACCCAATAAGTCATTTTCTGAATTGGAATGCTGATTACAAAATGAAAGGTTGAAGTTCGCATCCCTGGTCAGGACTGAACAAAATAATTTTGTTGAATAAACAAGTGTGGACACAGATCAGTGTGGATAGTATGATTGGATGTTTGACAGTGTTTTATATGACAAAAGGAGTTCTATGTTTTATGTTTTCTATGTATTAACTGTGTTGCACAATGACAACCAACATGAGCATTAGGGGTGTTGTTTATGTAATATTTAGTTTTTTATGTTCAACACGGGCATGGAAGAGATACTAATTGCATTAATTACCAAATGATTATGATAGAATATATATGTTCCACATCTTTGATTTTGGATACATTTTGTAGCTAGGAGAGGAACACATAATAGGTTCATTTTTTTCTTAATGTGATTTTTTTATATGGGAGATGGTATCTGAGAACATGTATTTGCTTACTATTTGTATGGTTCTATTTATATTACTTTGTGGGGGATTGTCAGTATCATAGGTAAAAGATTTCGGTTAAATGTGGAAATTGTTTCTCAGTTTAGAAGACATTTAATGTTTTTTAGTAATGACAATGACTGACATGATGATTGGGGCTAGATGAGCTAGAAAGTTAATTTCTGTGTTATTTTTTATTAATTCTTTGAAAATATCTCCTCCAAAGCTGGTCAAAGCAAAAAAAAGTGAAAATGATATCAACAAAAGAACCTTTGTGAGCATGCTTCAAAGACTCATAACTAACTACAGAAGTCATATGATAAAATGTCAAGCGGATATTATGAACATCTACTTAATATGTCTAAATATCTAAAAAGTTTTAGTATTCAATATGAAAAAGCTATTGCAAAAGTATTCTCTTTTCAGTTTTTTTTGTTATATGGATACAAATATAAGTGATACCAATACAATAAGGCAGTTTTGTTATGGTATGAAAGTGTAGTAATTAACATTTACTGTTAATTCACACAAATTAAGAAATAAACAAATGAATGATAAATGTTGAACATGTACAATGAAATATATTTTAGAAATCAATTAGGCCAGATAGGCCTTATAAATTTTGGTCTTTTTCTTAACATACTGAATGACCATTTACACTCAGGACTGAGTCGCCAGTAGGCAGTACAGATGTAAAAAAGTAAAGTGTAACAAAAGAACCTAGCATCATATTGCTAGTAGCGCCAGTAGCATTGTTTGGTGAATTTGTGCTTTATTTTTTTAGTTTGGCTAATGGACAAAAAATGTTTGGTTCAAATCTAAATAAAATGCTTTTATCTCCCTATTACTTACATTGTACATAGAATGGATACCACTTTGACAATTCCTTGTACATGAGAGTTGTCTGTCAAATCTTTATTTCACAAAGAATGAATTGCATAACAATGAACTGAGCTCAAAGCAAAGCACTTTAATAATACACTTAGACAATGAGCTCAATCCAGTGATATACTTTGTACTACAGGTCCTTCATGAACATACTACTGGCCAAAACCATATCTCACAAACATGCCATACTACATGGTTGGATCAGAAGTCCTGAAAAAGACATGAACTTTATTAACATATTTTAAGTATATACACCGGTTAAAACTTTAACAAATTTGTGGTAAAATCATTCAGTATCTAGCAACTATCAATCGCTTCATGCACAAATTGATATAGGTTGAGTACCCCTCTGTCAGAAATAAGAACATACCTCCACCTAATTTTAGTTAACTGATGAAGAAACATTCAAAATTATAAAATGTTATCTAATAGACTAGCTGCAATGAAATCCCAGTTTTCTAAAATGGTAGATGGACCTAAAACTCAAAAGATTTTAAACTATGCATTTAAATATTGCAAATATACATGCAATAATAATAATTCTCAAAAATTCGCTATATTTTTCCTTATTTTGTCTTTTGTTCAAGACTGTATATTGACCTCTAGATGTCTTTTAATTACATCCAGTTTGGCGTGGGTTGATGTTTGATTGTTGTACATGTTATATATCGACGTGGGATTTGTTTATATAAATTAGGCATGAAATAATTTTGGTTAACTGAAATCCTTTAACTTACTTCCAAATTAATGTTAATACTGAGGGAAAAAATTACATTGCTAAATAACCACTTTAAAACACAATGCAAACTTTTTGAGAGGAAGTCATAATGCATGTAACATCTATTAGATCTTTTTTTAAACCATTCTAAACTACTGATAAGTGATAAAGTTTGTTAACTGTTACTTACCTTCAAAAAGGGGGTTGCATTCACTTTACTACATATACATATAAATATAATCAACAATACTGAGTGCAACACCTAGGATAAATAGAGGATTGTTTTGTAAGAATAGTTGCTGAAATAAGCAGGCAATATTCAAAGTAGAATAAAAAATATTACAGGACTGTGTTTTAAAGTAATAAGCATTGTGCAGGGCTCACGTTACCATGCTACTGGGACGACAAAGTCGCTTTACCGGTCGCCACTTGGCTTTGACCGACCTTCAAAAGTGAAATCTAGTCGCCCTGTTGTTTACGATACTCAAATTCAGTGGCTTTCGTCATCGGCAATATTCAACATTTACCAAGTCGATGAAACAGCAATTTTTCATTTGAAAGTAAAGAAATTCAAAGACATAAACGATTTATTTTCTTTAGGAGGTTAAGCATTGATTTTAAAGTTGGTTGCATGTTATTTTCATACAGACAATTTTTTTATCACTTCTGGTACTTGTTACTCAAGCGTAGATCAAATCATTCTAACTTTCGGCAAAATAAGCTTGTTACTTCATTAGAACGTGATGAAATTAAAGATTTCTTGCTGTTGTGCAATACACTGTGCTGTTGCGCAATACTTAGTAAATCTGTCGTCAGACTATAAACAAATAAAGTTCAATTAATTCCCAGTCATATTAGAAATTTATGAAAATGTAAAGGGAGCTTGCATCAATAAATATAAACAATTCACTTAAGTTTCATGAGAATTGCTGACAGCATTTTTGAGCTATTGTCCGAAAACTGGAAAATCACCCCTTTTTTAATGAATAAAACCCCATCACTCAGAAATGTAAAATTTATAAAATTCTAAACGGAGCTTACATCAATATAGATATAAACAATTCACCAAAGTTTCATACAAACTGCTGAAAGCATTTTTGATTTTTGTCCGAAAACTGGAAAATCCCCCCTTTTTTCATGAATAAAACCCTGTAACTCAGAAATGTAAAATCTAAAATATATAAAAATCGAAAGGGAACTCATGTCAATAGATATTAACAATTCACCACAATTTCTTGCAAGTTGGTGAAAGCTTTTATTGTCCGAAAACTGGAAAATCCCCCTTTTTTTAATGAATAAAACCCCATAACTCAGAAACGTAAAATCTAAAATTTATAAAAACCGAAAGGGAGCTCATGTCAATAGATATAAACAATTCACCAAAGTTTTATGCAAATTGGTTAAAGCGGTTTTGAGTTAATGTCTGACATGTTAACGACGGACAGACGGACAACAGTATACCATAGTATGTCCCGTAAACGGGCGTATAAAAATGACAGGGTGTCATACCACACCAAAACCTTCTGAAGGAAACACTAAGTTGGCAAACAAATTTTTTTTTTTTCATTGACAACCCTGTATAACCTTGCAGCAGTATCGAGTCTACATGCATTACCTTGTATATTTCATGTACATTGAACTTAAAAATATGTGGTCATTGTCAAAATTAGTTATGTCAGTTATAATTTACACATTTACTGAAACAATGCCAGAGAAGTGCATGTACAAACTTTTGAATTTGATCTGCAAACTGGGAAAGCTATCCTTTTTTATGAATAAAATTCCACAATTTATTAAATTGAAAGGGAGCTTGCATCAATAGATATATATAAACAATTAACCAAAGTTTCATGACAAATGACGACTGCTTAAAGCATTTTCGAGTTAATGTCCGAAAACATGGAAATCCCCCTTTTTGAATGAATAAAACCCCTTACATTGTAACTGGATAATGTAAAATCTAAAATTCCAAAACAATCTAAAGGGAGCTCACATCAATACATGAATACAATCCCATATAACTCTGAAACGGGAAACCTAAAATTTATAAAATAATCAATTTTCAACAGTTTCATGCAAATTGGTGAAAGCGTTGAAGAGTTAGTGAACAAAGCATTTTTAGAGTTAATGGGCGTTAACATGAAAATCCCCCTTTTTTAATGAATAAAACCTCACATTTTGAAAATTCAGTAGATATAATCAATTCACCAGAGTTTCATGCAAATTGGTGAAAATATAACTGAGTTAGTGAACAACATGCTAGAAACCGACAGATCAGGGCAGACAGACGGACAAAGGCATACCATAATATTTCTCATGAACAGGCGTATGAAAACTGCAGGGTGCCATTCCAGGCCAACACCCGCTGAAGGAAACACTATAAGGGAGCTTCCTTTCCATTTTTATGGGGGGAAAAAGGGGGGGGGGGGGGGGGCTAGGATGAATATTTTGTCCTGCATTTTTTTTTTTAAGTTAGAGATGTAATCTGTCCTGCCTTTTTTTCTATTAGTTTATCCCGACTTGTTTTTACATAA